AAGGTTGTTAGGTTTAGAAGACCCAAGGGAAGACTCCTGCATCAATCCTTGAAGAGAAGCAACCTCCCTTGGCAGGAGACGCCAAAGGTTCTTAGAGAAAAGCCTCCTCAGATCCTGAGACCATGATCTCTGCGGCAAAGAGGGTGCCACCTGGGCTGTTTCCACCCCTTTGACTGGAGAACTAGGTACAAACCTCTGCATCAGCTGTGAGGCATACAATAGCTGGTTGGCTATTCACAACTTGGGGCGCCTAGCCCAATGGCTTGAGATGATCTTGTTTTTGCCATTAACCTTTCGGGCCTTGGCAGTTTCAATCAGTGGCAAAGGGTCCTGGAAAGCCAGGAGACCTAGCCTTAGTGCCCTGAGGGGTAGATTCCCCATCTGCTACCCAGACCTTGGTAAAACACACTGGGCATTGATGAGAGACCGGAGGAGGGCCCAGTATCAGGAAAAATCGCAGCCACGCATGATAAGCCTCTCGACGGGGTATATGCAGGTATGCCTCTGATGGATCAGTCAAGGCCAGGAAGTCCTGATTCCCACTTACTTCCTCATTCTGTCTTACTTCCTGCTCAGCCACTTGAAGCCTAGAATGGCCCTGACATCCCCATTTTTCTAGGGAACTAGAGAAGGAACCCAGTAGACACCCCCCCCCCTGTCCTTACGCACCTAACACTGGGGCTGCTCCTGTGTCCAGGAGGTGCAGGACGGCCTACTGTGAAGGAAAAAGAAATTCTGGGCACAAGGATTTCTTGGAACTGTGTGATTCCAATGGACGAGCTAGCTATAGGCAGCTGTTCTACTGCTGCTTTGACTGCCGTCTCCCCACGGCATTACAAAGAGATCTAAAAGGAAGGAAAGTGGTTCTTGGACATACCGTCTTCTCCTTCTAAAAGCAGAGGACTTCTTTTCCTTTCCTTTTCTTTCTTTTTTTGTTCTTTTCTGCCACGAGATATTAGGCCATACCTTTGTCAATTAACTGTCAATTAATTAAATAAACTAAATGAGAACAGATAAAAGGAAGTGTGGCATGGAATTCACTGCCACGGGCGGTGACGGTGGCTACAAGCATGGACAGCTTCAAGAGGGAATTGGATAAACATATGAAGCACAGGTCCATCAGTGGCTATTAGCCACAAAGTATACAGATAGGAGCTCTCAGTCTGGGGCAAGTGATGCTCTGTATTCTTGGTGCTTGGGGGGAGGGGGGGCAACAGTGGGAGGGCTTCTAGTGTCCTGGCCCCACTGATAGACCTCCTGATGGCACCTTGTATTTTTGGCCACTGTGTGACAGAGTGTTGGGCTGGATGGGCCACTGGTCTGATCCAACATTGGCTTTTCTTATGTTAAACCCCTTTAAGGGTACACCAGCCACCCTGGTCAGATGTCCAGGACTAGGTGGCTCTGGCAAATTAGCAGCAAACCATGGAAGCTCTACATGCTGTTAAGGGAACCTCAAGGTCCTTGCAAAAAGCCTGTTAGGTCCGTGTATTGAAACGATCTTTAGGAAGACCTCCTGCCTCCAATGGAAGCACTCAATTAGAGCACAGGCTAACCACTGGGCCAGCCACTAGTAACACCTGGAATCTCTTTATTACCTCTAGTACCAAGGAGTAAACTTGGAGGGGGGAATGGTTAACTTTTGGTCTAGCAGAAGTTTCCCATTCAGTAATGCTTAGTAAAAAAAAAACTACAGGGAGAGGAATCCCAGTGGGGGGCGCCTCCCCCCCCCCCTTAGAGAGAGTTCTGACTGAGCCACCTGGAAATTATGGACTGGGTCTTGCCCCCTTTAGGGATTGCCTGAGATCTCCAATATACGTGGTATGTGAAAAACTGCCGTGTCCTGAATCAGACTATTGATTCATCAAGATCAGTATGTCTACTCAGATCGGCAGTGGCTCTCCAGTGTCCCAGGCTGAGGTCTTTCACATCACCTACTACCTGGTCCTTTCAACTGGAGATGCCAGGGAGCGAACCGGGGACCCTCTGCATAACAAGCAGATGCTCTGCCACTGAGCCATGTCCCCTTCCTTGGGAAGTATCCTGGCCCCCTGAAAGAAGGAGCATGCCTGCACAGAGGTAACCACAGGCTGTTCCTCTGGCTGCTCCCCATCCTCTTTAGGGGATGAGGAATCAGACACCTCAGAGTCTCCATCCTGATAACCCAACAGGAGCTGCAGGACTCCCTGCTACGCCCGGATAAAACAGCTGAATGGAGGATACCTTCCCTGTCAACTGGGAGACCTTGGAGGAATTCTCATGTCTTGGCCGGACCGACTACTGGCCTCCTTTATTTCCCTCCCTGATCGAGACTAGTAAGTCGGCTTGGGCATTTTAAAAACCCAAGGGGATCTGGGAATGAGCCGCTTTCTATAGCGTTTCCAGATGGAACCTCGGAATGAGTTGGAGTCCAGGGAATTAGGAGTTCTCATGGCATACACCTCCCGAAGGCTCTGAGACCATGCTTTCTGGAGGTTGCGATGCAGAGAGGCCTGCCTGCAGTGACAGCTCCTGCCTAAACGGAGGCTTTCCCAGGGGGTGAAAACTCCAGAAACTTTAAACTGGCTTCATCCTTCATGGGGCTCAGGAGAGACAGAGAGAGTCATAGCTGAAGGCAGGGCAGATTCCTCTCCTCGAAGCCAGCCCTTCTGCAACCCCGAATGCCGCGCAGAGGGCCGAGGCACTTTTGTGTAGCTGCTTCCTGCACTTCAAGCCCCTTAGAGGTGAGGATGGGGGGGAAGGGACACCAGGCCTTAGTGCTGGAGACCCCGCAGAAGCACCAGATTGGGAGATGCTGTTGGCAAGATGTGTGTGTGTCACTGGCTCCCGGTTTCTCTCTGCCGTTGGTGTGCAGTAAGGGAAAGGGGACTCCCTCGCCACCCTTTCCCACCTTGCAGAACTCATCCCCCAGAACTGAAACTGAAAAGGGCTTTTCTACAATAAACTGGTGAGGTCTTACCGAGGTTCTCGAGGGTCTGGAAGGCCACAGCTGTCTCCGTGCCAATGCTCTGCTTTGCAACTGGTGCCTCCTGACCTCTCGGGAACTGCATGGAGGGCCGGGGCACTCCAGAGCATTTGTAGCCAGTTCTACATGCCCCCATAGGGCGATGGGGAGGGCTCCCAGGCTGAGGTCTTCCGGGCCTTTAAGACAAACTGGCTGGCTCTGACTGAGCTGATCTTACCATAGAGGTATCCTGTGCACTCTCCCCACCAGACCCCCCCTTCTACCGGGCTGTCTTACTGCAGTTCAGGCAGGGGGTCACTGGGGCACTCGCTGTTCCCCTGTTGTTCCGACAAAGCCTGGCCTGTAGGAGCTTGCCAGGGTCTCAGTGTTCCTTCAACAGGCTCCTGCACTCTACCACACCCCTGAGATCGTTGGAGGGGGCGGGTGCTCCTGGCCCAAAAGTTGAAGACCTTGGTGGGAGTCTGCAGTCTGGCTGTGCGCACTAGGGAGCTCCTGGTGTCTTCACCCTTCAACACTCGCTCGCTGTCCCTCCTAAGCGACGTGGGAGAGAGGAGTGAACCCATTCCTTCCCGTGTGAGCCTCCTTCTCATGGGGACTTGCTAGAAGTTCTTGAAGGTATGCTGGTTTGACGGGATTATGGTGCTCTATGGAGTGCTGCAAGAGACGTCCTGATGCTATGCAGGCCGAAAAGACTGGAAACTTCCGGGACAAGCTCCTCCCCTCCGGGATCGCAAGGACTAATGACCCTACCTGCAGAGGAGGAGGAACTATATCCCAGAAGTGAAGACTGTCCCACCCCTAGGACCACTGGAGAAATGAGAATGCAAAGCGAAAGTATAAAATGCTAACTTCCCCTCAGGATGCATACTTACTCTGAGCAAGCAGCAAGCAGCCGAAGGCAACCACCACCACGAAAATGGCACAGATAGCATCCAGGCGTACAGCAAACCATCTGGAGGTAGTTAAAAATAAGAACCAAGACTCTAAAAAGAAAAAGGGAAAAGTTTGGTGTTTCTTTTCTTTTTTATGACGTCATGAAGTTCCAAGCTAAACACAAAGAACAAGAAGCAAAATCTCTGAGACCAATTCAGGAAGTTTCGGCAGTGAGGCAGCCAGAACACCAAAAGAATCTACTGTTATGACAGTTTTTTGTTGTTGTTCTGCTATCAAGTCACAAGTGACTTATGGCAACTCCATGGGGTTTTTTGCTATTGCCTGCCTCTGTGTCAGAACCCTGGTATTCTTTGGTGATCTGCCTTCCAAATACTGACCACAGCCAACCCTACTTAGCTTCCAAGATCTTGACAAGATCAGGCAAGCCTGGGCTATCCAGGTCACAGCGTATGACACTGTATCGACAGAGAATTCCACTTGCCCTTCCCATAGGGTTCCCAAGTACTTACCGTGATCCAGCGGGGGAAACATGCTCCCCAGCCGGACCATTCCTGTAACGCACCATGCCGTCGCCAGGAAGAGATGCCGGGTGACACTCTGGCAATGGGGCTGAAAACTCGATGGTACCATCGAGTTTCCAGCCCCATTGCCAGAGTGTCGCCTGGCGTCACTTCCTGGTGACGGCATGGTGCGGCGCATCTGTTGTCCCCGCAGGAATGATCCTGCAAAGACGTCTGTGTCCCCCGCCGAATCACGGTAAGTACTTGGGAAGCCTGCCTTCCCAACATAATATTTGAAGAAACTTTCGCTGAAATTATAATTTAGTAGAGTGTAACAAACTATCTATGGACTTTGGAGAGCTAGCGTTTTCCACTCCCCCTCCTGCTGCAGCCCCGAGCCCCCGGAAATTTTGCTTGGGGGGGGGAGAGAAAAGCGGAGTATCAAGAAACAGTGGGAGAGGAAAATCTGTGGAAATCATTGCTCCCTCTTTCACAAACAGAAACTATCCGGCTGGATACATACCAACATTCTTAAAAATTAAAAATGAAGTGACTGAAATCGTACATCTTCACTGAACTTGTCTGACCGCTACACCTGAAGGTTTTGGACTAATGAGCTACCACCAGGATTTCTTAGCAACACAGATTTTCATATATCTGGTAGTCATTTTTTGAGCCACTACAATTGCACAGGGTCAAGAGAGCCTGCCTTCGGCAGGGAGGGCAGGATAAAAATTGGAGGCCCCTGCATAGCATGTGTGGCACTGGCTCACACAACCAGCATCTTCACAGAGACTGGATGGACTGAACAAGAATCCTTAAACTTTACCTCCTGCTCAAGATAAAGTAATTTAAACATCCACAACAGCAAGCTCACAATACACAAAATGAGCTCTCGTTCCTGGCAAACACCTCAGGAATATTTAAAAGGGAAGGAGTACAGACAGTCACCTGTGCTCAAGGCGAATTTTTCAAGTCCACAAGAAAGGGTTTCCAAGGAAACTAGAATGTAGAAAAACCAAGAGTTTCTTGTGGCAGTGACTCACGAAAGCTCAAATCCTACCAAAAATTTTGTTAGTCTTTAGGGTGCTACTGGACTCTTGCTCTTTTCTACTGGTACAGACAGACAGACATGGTTACTCATCTTGATCTAAGAGCTTCTTAATTGATTCGACCGTCCTACATATCAACCTCACTCCTATCTATGTTAGATCAGGATGTAGGTAGGAGTGGGAAAGGGACACAACCATCATGTGACCCAACCAAGATTAAGGAACTTGTTCACACACTGATTCACATTCTGAGAGTACTGGTATTACACTTGAAAGGGAATGGAAGACATTCAGAAAAGTGGAATACACTCAACCCAGGCCAGTATTCCTGGAAACTCATTTGAGGAAGATACATCGGGACCCATTTATACAGGTAGCAGACTTAAGTGGCAATGTCCCTTCTGGACTGTATTACTTCTGGCTTCAGATGATGGGTTGCTCCTCTGTAGGGGAAAAAATCATGTCAGAGAAAAGGCTAGCTGACTCTTGTTCCCTGACATGCTAATTTTCTGTGAGCAGGGAGGTAATCACATACCCCCTCCCACATACATGTCTATATACCAGAATCTTGGAGCAGCACAGTCCCAGGGAAGCTTTGCCACTGGGTCTAAATAAACAGGGTTTAGAAGCAAAATGTCTGCTTTAGTTTTTGCAAACCTGAGTGCAGGTCTTGATGGGCATCAAACAACTCTTGGAATCTTTGCCCCGCTTTAAAAGCTCGAATAGTCCAAAGTCCCTGGAGAGATGATGACAGATGGGAGAATACTGGGCTTCGAGCTGCAACATGGAGATTAAGTGAATATTATAACCCATCGGCAGTGTTCAGTCTTACAACTAGACACTCAATTTATCTGAATAAATGCATGCTATTTACTACCCAACTTATAAAACAAGAAAAGGCAGTTTCTTTCTAGGGTTTCTTATTAACAAACTATTCTGTGGCTCTCCGAGATGTTCTGCTCAAGTTCAGGGAAGTAAGACACCTTTTTCAGACGATATTTCTGTGGACTGGTGCAAGGGCAACACAGATTTCCACAAGAGGAACTCCTGAGTGGCTTGCCATCTGCTGTATGACAGGGCTATTTTTGGGCAGGAACGCACAGGAACGGAGTTCCGGCTGGCTTCAGAGTTGGCCACGCCCACTATAGCCAAAACCTCTGCGTGCCTGGCTACAGAGGGAAGGCCTGGAGAGCGACACACACACCCGTGACTCTGAGGCAGGCGGGCCAGGGGGGCCCCTGGAAGGATCGGGGAGGCATTTAAATGCTTCCCGGCCTGTCCAAGGGCCGGCTTGCCCGGGCTCCCCACAGCCACGGGGTGCCCAGACAAGCCAAGGGAAGGCATGGGGTGTGGCCTAATATGCTAATGAGCTGTGCTGTTAGGTATGGCCTAATATGCTAATGAGTTCCTGCTGGGCTTTTTCTGCAAAAAAAGCCCTGTGTATGAACATTGTTCACTGGAGAAGGCAGCTACAGGAGAAGCAGCAGGCAGGGCTTTCTAAGCTCCAAGAAAGAAGGAATTAGTAGAGTGAGGGACAGAGGTTTAGCCTGCCAAGGATGTGGGCTCTCTGAGAAGAGATGCCAATCATCAAGTATCAAACGGAAGTTATTTGGGGGTTTAGAATGAGGCAGGAAGGCCTTTTGCCTCCAGTGCATGATGGGAATGGCAGATCCGAGCCTAAGGGAGGAGCAGGGCCTGTGATAAAAAGCACCTTTTGCAAATCCCCCAAAAGTGCAAACGCCCCACTGGATTAACCCATCACAGCACAGGTCCAACGAACCCAGCGACTATTAACAAGCCAATGCAATACAGTACAGAGCTGCAGTGGCTCAAGTGGTTAAGACGCTGAACTGCAGCCTGTGGAAGGTCGGTAGTTCAGCAGTTTGAGACCCGAGTCTGCCTCATGACGGAGTGAGCTCCCGTCTCTAGTTCCAGCTCCTGCCAACCTAGCAGTTCGAAAGCAAGAAATTGCAAGTAGATAAATAGGTACCACTTCGGTGGGAAGGTAACAGCGTTCCGTGCGCCTTGGTGTTTAGTCATGCCGGCCACATGACCACGGAAACGTCTTCGGACAGCGCTGGCTCTTCGGCTTTGAAACGGAGATGAGCACCGCAACCCTAGAGTCGGACTCGGCTGGCTTTCGAGCAAGGGAAACCTTTACCTTTACCTTTTACAGTACAGTGAGGAGTTCTGTTCTCTCACAACTACATTATGATATTTCTTGTAAGCCACATTCTGTCAGCCTTCAATTTTGTCATTCGTCAAGCCAGGAGCAACACAGCAGACTCCCCTTTCTCAATCCTGCACAAACTCAAGCTTTCTTTCCCCGCTCTTGGCTTTCATCATGATTTAGTATTATATCTGTACCAATTTAGCCATGATTAATATTAAGGATGTCTCTTGAACAAGATTTGCACAGTTGTTTAAACCCTGGCTAAAACAGGAACCCTAGTGAGCACTAACCATGGTTATCTGAAGAAGTGTGCATGCACACGAAAGCTGATACCCAGAATTAAACTTTGTTGGTCTTAAAGATGCCACTAGGCTCAAACTTTGTTCCATGGTTATAATTGGTGCAGATGTGATGCAAAACCTGGTTAAAGAAGGGAGACAAATTCATGGTAGGAAGGAGAAGGGGCATGTGATCCCTTAGGCTTGGATCCCATATTAAATTTCTGTTAAGGAAGGGGGGTGATAAGAGCATAAGAGAAGCTATGTTGGATCAGGTCTTTGGCCCACTCAGTCCAACACTCTGTGTCACGCAGTGGCCAAAACCCAGGTACCATCAGGAGGTCCACCAGCAGGGCCAGAATTCCAGAAGCCTAAAAAATCCAAACACCAGGGCCATGTACAAGTAGGGAGACTTTTCTGGAAACCTAGAATGCCTAGGTTTGCAGGAAACCCCCAAAATTTAATAAAAACAATTGTAGTGGATAACCCCTCCCCCAGATGGAGAATGCTGATTGAGATATTGTGAAAGCTCACATGATCACAGTCAGAACTATGGGGTTGCCTAGCAACAACTGAGGCAGTAGAATCCGGGCCTAGGCAACTTTACCCTGACAGCAACTTGGAAATAGGGGGAAAGAAACAACAGAACAGCTAATGACCGGGGGGGGGGAGCTGGAAAAAAGTGAGGACATTGTGGAGGATGGGATTTCTTTCATCGGTCATTTTTGCAGGTCATTTTGCATTTTTGCAGGCAACTTATTACACTCCCATCTTACATCCCATCCCGGAAAAAGCGGAACAGCGAAGACCGGCGCCGGAGGAGGGTCGCCGCCGGACTGTCCCCTCGCAAAAAGAAGATCTGCTACAACAAGATAAAGGTGCCTGGTAGGTTTCTCACCTTCCCTTCATATGTGGCCCTAGATTAGATTGGTTAAATCGGAATTGTAAGCCGCTCAGAGCCCCTAGGGGGTGAGCGGTATAGAAGCCGAATGAAATAAATAAATAAAATAAATAAATAAAAATCAAATCATATCAATACACTTACTTGTGGATTCTAGACGTTTAATATCTCTTGATGTATCCAAGAAATACCGACGAAGAAAGATAAAAAGAATAAGAAGTGGGACTAAAGGGATGAGAATCCATGGAATCACAACAACGGCCACTCCAACCACGCCACAAATCTGAAACAGAACCTGCAACAACAAAATCACATAGCAGCCCGATTAAGCCCAAAGTCTCCTTTTTGTTTATTTTTAATGTTTTTGGTTTAAGGGCACAAAGAACTCATAAAAACCATTCATTTCAGTTCCTGTACCAATCCCAATACCATTCATTCTGGCATCTATATGCTTTGGGTCACAGTCCCCAATTTTCTAATCCTTTCTTTGCTGGTCACTTCCTTCTTACACCCAGTGAAGAGCACTTCCTGACCTTAGGCCCCCTCTACCGTGTTCCTCTGCTCTACTTTCTCCATGCCTTCACTACATACTGTGGTCCTTTTCGTACTAGACCTTAAATCCTGATTCAACTCTGTCCCCGAACTTACATTCTATACTACATGCGATTTCACCTCTGTAATTATCTTGGGGTATTTTTACATTCTACACTACACGCGAGTTCACCCCTGTAATTATCTTGGGGTATTTTTCATTTTCACATTACACTGAGGTCACCCCAGTTTCGCCCCACTCTTGTCCTGGGATAAACGGATGCTGTTATAACCAGGGATAAATGCAAGGTATTGTGTCACGAGTTAAACTGATAAAACCAGGGATGAGATCCAAGTGCGGAAAGGACCTGTGTCTTCACGCCCTTGTACTTGCAGCCACTACCAATTTTGCCTCATACTTTTAGTCTCTCTGGCTAGACAGACATAAAGTGCTTTAGTTAAAGCTTCATTCACAGACAGACTTCACTTTTATTACATTCACACCCTGAGGAAAATTACTAGAGAGACACTGAGAGAGAAAAAAGATTATAAAATAAAGTGTTCTTTATTTGGGAATTTGGGGGCTCTAGTGATATTAAGCTACAACACTCAGTTGCCGCACTAGAGCTGTTGAAGGGGAAGCCATATATTATTAATATAACAAAACTAGGATGCAAATTAGAAGGGAAAAATCCTAGGATGACTAAGATGGAAGTCTGACTCCATCTTTGGAATGAATTTCAGACAACTCTACACCATCTGATCGCTATCAAATTTACAACAGGGCGGATCACGCTAACATTCATGCATTTTAGAAAATCAAACTTGCATGCAAATGAACTTTTAATGAAGTAATCTCCAAAGGCAGACACAGCTATGTATAAATAGCGACTAAGCTCATCTTTTTTAACAGTAGAGGGACTTAAGTGCCTATTTTCCCGAAAGTTCTTTCTCCCGTGCAGGTTGAACAGCATCCTTAGAAAATAGAATCACTACTCACAACACTGCTGTTGTAAGAGCAGGAATCTGAAGGACCAATTGTACGCACATGCACAAATTACATATTACACACACACACACACACACACACATATATATGCACACAACTGTTTTTCTCCTTTCTCTCTATCTCCCATTAAAACATATTAAAAACATGGGCCTGAGATAGCTGTGACAGAAACTGCTCTTTTCAAGAACACCTCTGACAGAACAATGGCTTGCCCAAAGTCATCCAGCAGCTGCATGTGGAAGAGTGGGGAATCAAACCCGGTTCTCCCAGATTAGAGTCTGCGCACCTAACCATTACACCAAACTGGCTGTAGGTAATGTTTGCCACACCAAAATGACTGCTATGGTGTATGTGTATGTGTGAGGGGGAACCAATCACAAAATGTTGGGAAGTTCAACAAAATGTTAAGAGGTTCCAAGCCAAACATCCTCCGATGATGCAGAAAGCTGTTCTGAAATGCATTCACTTTTGGGCTCTTCTGAGACATCTATTCTAGTGCAACAGAAGAAAACCAGGACTGACTCTTGGGTTTGGGTAAGAAGTAAGTGGACACCAAGAAACACAGTGGAAGACGCCATGCTGCCCATGGACAGAATTTTGAAGAACCCTAATCTAAAATGAAATTCAAGGCAAATTTGGGATAGTCTGCTTCGGTAAAACATGGCCAAGAGTTTCAAGGGAAGAAAGAATTGTGGTGAGATTGAAGAACCAGCTCTTTCAGTTCAGTGCCTGGCTGTCTAAAAATATATATATATTCTTACTTGCTACAACCAACTAGATGACTATTGTTGGGTCTATTCCAAGCACAAGTATTTGAATCTGTTTGCTATTCTCAAGACTACTATTCATCATTTCCCCTAGCAGACATTATTTTTTGGCCAGCAAAGAAATAATTTTTTGCTATCAACACTACTTCATCTGCCAGAAAACTTGCAGATGAGCCAGTGTATTGTTTTTAGATCTCATGAAAAGTGGAAGAGTTCTTAAGTTCTGTACAGAATGTGCACAAATACCTACGAGCGCATTTTGGAGGAGGGTTTTTGCCAGTGATAAAGTCTTGTACTCAGATCTGTTTAACTCATTATGCATATTTATGTACTAAGATGCAACATCAGTAAACATATCTTGGCAATTCAAATTATGTTTAAAGACTTTTCCCCCGTTGAATCAAAAAGTGAAATCTTTTTTGCCAAACGGGAAAAACCGACTTTGTTTGTAAGCACGGTTAAGTCATATCTTTAGTATATCAATAGTTCAAGGCAATCTAGAAGATTTGTACTTTATCACCATTTAGAACAGGATTGTTACACTCTATGACTGACAGGAGAATTAAAAGATTTGGAGCAGCAGAGAAGGTGTTAGAAATGTTAATGACCTTGCTTGGTCTTTTCTTTTGCTCTCCTCCCCCCTCCCTCCCACTAGCTATGTTACCAGCATGGCAAGTTATTTTATAAAATGTTCTGAAAGGATAAATGCTCCAAGCAAAAGGAAATTTAGAATGCAAAAAAAGAAACACAGAACAAGTTCGGGTAGCCCAGAATGTTTCCTTGAAGCCTGGATTAAATGCAAATATGTGGCACAGCAGAGGGTTTCAATGAGCACATGAATTTGCCTGCTACTGAGTCAGTCCCTTCATTTACCAAGGTCAGGTCTACGCGGAGTTGGTCGCGGCTCTCCACCATTTCATGTTAAGTTCTTTCACATCATCTGCTACCTAAACCCTTTCACCTGAGATGCTGGGGATTAAACCTGGGACTTCCTACATGCAAAGCAGATGTTCTGCCGTAGTCTCATGGCCCCTCCCGCCAAAAGCTAGGGGGAATATCTGAAGCGGGACAGGAAGGAGATAAGGAAATCTGAAGCAGCACAGAAGTCCTCAAAACGGGGGGGGGGCGATGCAAGGCAGAGGCATCCCGTGTGTCTTAGAACACAGGCAGTATTCTAAGGTTTACAAAGCCATCAAAAGGCATATTAAAAAAAAAACTTCTCAGGGAAAAGAGAGGGGGTAATAAGCTATTTCGCACATTACATTGCAGAAAACCTGTGTCCGCCACAGAGCCATAGGCAGTCCTAACTCTGTCAAACTGACCTGCATGATGCATGAATGTGCCATATTCATGCTTTACAGTTTCCAGTGAATGCCTAGACAACAGGGGTCCCCAACCTTTTTCAGCCTGCAGGCACATTTGGAATTCTGAGAGGGGGTGGTGAACACTATCTCGAAATGACTGCCAAAGAAGAACGGATGGAATATCTCTTTCATCACACTTTCTGGGAAGAAGGGGAAATACAACCACACACCGGCTAAGGAAAGCCCAGTTGCTCACTAGTCCTCCCGATCTTCCAGTGGAAAACCCTTCCATTGAATGAGGGCACCCAGTAACAAGCCCTGCCTTACAATGGCTCCACCCTCTTTCTGAAACTTGGCAGGCACCAAGGGAAGTAGTGGGGGTACAATGTTGGGGAACACCCTGCTATACATTATGAAATGTGAAGAGGTGCAAAGGCATTCATTCCTCTGCGTCTGACTCTCTGTTTTCTTAGTGCCTTAGTCATCCTTTCCCCACCCAACCTACTCATACCTGCCCCCTCACAAATAGGCAGGGCCCCATGAGAGGGAACTACTGCCATAATTCGAATGCTATCTAAGTAATCCTGCTGCTTCTTTCCCGCCAAAGAGGTTAGATTCCAAGAAGGAGGAGGAGGAGGAGGAGGAGGAGGAGATTGGATTTGTACCCCGCCCTTCACTACCCAAAGGTGTCTCAGAGCGGCTTACAAACTCCTTTCCCTTCCCCTCCCCACAACAGACAGGTAGGTGGGGCTAAGAGAGCTCTGACAGAAACTGCTCTTTTTCAAGAACAGCTGTGACAGAACTATGGCTTGCCCAAGGTTATCCAGCAGGTGCAAATGGAGGAGTGGGGAATCAAACCCAGTTCTCCAAGATTAGAGTCTGCGCACTTAACCACTACGCCAAACTGGCTCTCGGAAGACCTCTGGCCCAGTCTTTCCTACATCAGTCTTTCCTACATCCGGCACAACAAAGCTGGTAAGAATTAAAGTAACATGCACTACATCTTCCCACTCCCTACCTGCTCAACCGACTAAAGATGACACTGACAAAGAAAAGTCTCGTGCATGGCAATCTACAACAGATAAGAGGCTTGTTAAATTTACCAGTTAGGTTAAAATTATGCCAAATTAAGCCATTAAGCTTGTAATTTAAAACCAGTACCACAGAAGTACTTGCATTAGTTGTCCAAGATGACACATTTTCAGAAGTTTTCCTCATACATCCTTACAGAGCAGGTGAAAAAAGAAAAAGAAAAGTGGGATATGGTGGAAGAAGCACTTGGGAAGATCTTAAAATGACAACGTCAATGCGAGGCTAAGAGAAGCCGGAATGCCTTCAACACACTTTCCCTGACGTTTCCACACAACGAAATATAAGGGTCAGTGGTAGTGAAACAAACAGCGGCAGTTCCACTCCTTCGCACTTATGAAAGCAAGTGACCCAAAGCTATTCTTGTCGTCTTAGGCCCTTTTTTGTTCTTAATATCCAGATGCAGCAGCCTTTTTATTTCAAAGAAATGACTGTGGCCACCTCGCTTGCATTTTTCCTTTTCTTCAACGTTTTCACTTCATAAAGCTGCAGTCAATGTGTTTTTGTGTGCGGTGAGAAGGGAGTGACATTTCTAGTGGTGGTCTTGTCCACAGCCCACATTGGTGGCTCAAGTAGTCTCAGGATTAGGTCTTTG